TCCTTAAATTTTGTTGAAATTTATTGTTATATATGAAAATTATTTATCTTTGAGATAATTGCATGTTAAGTCATATATCCTATAGTGTCAAATTCGAAACCCAGGTGAGCCAACAGACTGCTTGGAGTTGGAGGTGAAGAAAATATTTATGTGCGATATTTTTAGCAGTTGCAATATAGTATTCTGTGATTCGCCAAGGTTTTGTGCTTCGTTTGTGGTTTTAATTTTCATGTATAATTAGTTTGTATTTTGCAAGTTGTAAGATCTGGTGTGCTAGGTGCCTGAGCTGGGGTTTTTTCAAATATATTTTTAATAATTTAAATGTGCTAATATTAAAAAACATATTCTGAAATAGATCACAAATGTTTATATACATATAAAAGCTAATATTGTCACTTGTGGACACATGCTTGGTGGTGCTGGGCACATTTCTAGGCCTATAATGCTGTCATGGTGATAATCCCCTTAGGCCTTGGCCATATGAGATTCGGTCAAGCCTTATCATTGTTTTTTGAACTTGGTAGAGGTAGATGTTTAACTATTCATTGTATAATCCTATCTCACCACAAACTTAGGCATTAAATTTTTTACTGTTCGTCTTTGCCAGCTACTTGAACAACTGTACAAGACAGCAGGGTTCTCTTGTGAGCTGCTGCTTGTACAGTTGTTCACAGGGACTTGTCATCATATGTTTTTCACCTTCAGGTCGAAATTATTTTTTTACTAACGGTATCTTTCCTTGCCGTGCAAGGAGAGGCCATTGCAATTCTGATTCCCAGAGATTTTCAATTCATGTCGTAATTGAATTGGATCGTGCGTATGTTTAGTCAAGTCTTGGTGTGGAAGGGTGTTTTTTTTTATTATTAATATTATAGAGGTGAGGTGAGGTGAGGTGTTTGTTTGATATTGGAACACATTGCCATTGTCAATCTAATAATGCTTGAATAATCTTGACACCCCTTAGATGGAGATTATTTGATCGAATTCAATGAAATCTTCAAACACTTTGGGGGCACAAATCCAATTCCAGACCAGAAAAGAAAAAAAGAGAGTCTGGAAAATCCTGAAGGAGATGCATCCAATGGTGCATGAAGAAGTACACAATTGCGAAAAGACGGGAAAAGGGATGCCTGGGGAGGCACAGATATTGGTTCAGAACATTAATAGAAGTGGTCCCTTGATGCATGCACTTTTTTTAATCCCAAAAGCTTTGGATTTTTTTTCCCCTTCTGCAAGGTGCCCACAAGCCCTTAGATATGGAAAAGAAACCCAGCTCACGGAGCGCTCGATTAGACTTTGAAGCATCGGGAAAGGGCAAAACTTCTCGGTGTCCTGACGAATTTGTGCTTAGACAGGGAAATTCAGTTCTGTGCATTTTTAGGCCCCTCACGTGCTCTGTATCTTTGCTTCCAGGATAGAGACTCAAGAGAAAGAAACAACAGAGAAGGGTCCATCCCAACAGTGCATCTTGAATTATGGCCAGCAGCAATTGAGTGCATAGTTGAGGGCTATCGATTTCTTTTCTTTCTTACCTTGAATGAATCTGGTATCGAAAAAGTTTTGGGACCATATTTTTTACTTCGGAAAGTTATATGTAGAACTCGAAGAAGGTTGCTGTTTAAAAGGTCGAGAACATCCACATCGCCCAACAGGATGTTGTGCGGAGAAAAAGGCTCCGAGACAGGCTAGAAGGCAGCATTAAATCATTAATCGAGCAATAAGAAAAAGGTGTTCTATTATTGTTTTTCCTTCTTGATTTGTCTATGGGAAAACTACTTTCGGTTAAAACCTTTACTTGCGAGCTATCTATTGAAGCAACTGAACTGCTTGGTACCATCGATCATCACTTTTTTTTATATATAAATGATAATAATAATTTAACATAACAAAAAAATATTTATATCATAGATAATTATTTAATATTATTATTAAATTTAATTCAACAAGTTAACGTAAAAACTTGATTTGGCCTGTCTAAAAACAATCTGACCGACTAATAAAAAAACATTAAATTATAAAATTGATAAGAAAATGATGAAACTAATCGAAGAAAATCCTCTAGATTTAGTTTCTTGTCTAAACCGAGTTTAAAATTAAATCACATGCGAGTTGTTCTATTAAATCATATGAAAGTTGTCCTGATGTGATCTAATTGACTTGGTCATTCAAAAAGCAACCCGAGAAACAATTAAAATAGTTTGAAAATGAAATTAAAATGGAAAAAAGAGCTTCACTAATCATATGAATAATGAAGTTTCACAAAGAATTTTATTTCTTTCGGTGTAAAAGATAATCAAGATTAAATTTTCTTTTTAAACTACAAAATATTACACTCTTAACATTAAACTAATTTTTTAAAAAAACAAAAAAAAACATTGAGAGCATGGGGATTTTTTTTAATGTTATTAAACCTAGGCAAGACGATAAATCTTGAAATCCCTTGACTTGGATTCTTACCTAATGTTAGTTTCAATTAAATTATTTAAGAACTAACTCAATGTGAATTGATTTATTTAATAGGTTTAAAGAAAACCTAGATGACTGGCAAAAGCATGGATCAACTTAAATAAAAAATCAAGAAGAATTTTTTTAAAAAAATATTGAGACGATAACATGGTTCATAAACTAGTTAGGTTTAATAATTTTTTCTCTTAAAAATATTTAAGAGTGGATTTAAAAAAAAAAAACTTTAGACCCACGTTAAGTGTTGTTTTGCATTTATGTGCATTATAGTAATTTAACTTTGCAATAAATAAATAAATGAAAAAGAGAACAGGTTACTCAATCAATTAAAAAATGACTAATTCATAATAATTGGAGTATGAGTATAAAATAAATTTTATAAAAAAAAAGTAAATTGATTGTTTCAGCCTATACTAATTAATCCAAATGAATCTTCTAAACCTTAGTTAATATTCTAAATCTGCAACCTGTGAAATTGAAAACCTAGGTTCAATTACAAATTTCAACCGTTAACTAATTTAATGTTAAATGATAACATTAAAAAACAAATCCCAAATAAAAAAAGTAACCAAATCCAAAAAAAGAAAAGAAAAAAGAATGAGCATCAATTATGAAAGGAGAAAAAATGAAGGTGTAAAATTGAAACAAAAAAAAAGAAAAATTTCAAAAACTATCTTAAATAGCAAAAAAAATAAAAATTAAAGAGAGGACCAAATCTAATAGATAAAAAAAAAAAACTAAAGTAGGATGCAATTGAAAAAAAATAAGAAATGAATAAAAAACAAATAGAAATAAAAAAAAGGGAACAAAATCAAAAGAAAAATAACTTTAATGACTTATATGAAAATTATGGAGGGCTAGACACAAATTTCCAAGCAAAAAGAGAAAAGAAAGCAAAAAAAGAAAAGGATGTCGAGGACACCTCGGAGGTTCGACGACTACACCATCACATGAGGAGGAAGATTAGGCTGAGAGCAATCAAATGACATGGTAGATGATTATTATTTAAAAAAATATTTTTATTAAGGTTTTATATCATTATTTTGCACTTGAAGTATCAATAACTCCTTAACTAGAATATAATTTATAATAACATATCTAATAATATAAGATACCTTTAATTTGTGGTAGATGTCCATCTTAAATATAGGCCTATCACATAAATCAAGGAATTGATAGATGAGTTTAACGACTGAAATTAGAAAAACAAAGAGAGGGCTAAGATTAGAAAAGAGATATTGGTTCAGTTCAAACTGAAATATCATTTGGTTATTGGATCATAACTAGGGTTGTAGAACTTGAATTTAGATTTACTTTATATGGATGGAGAGCTAAGACATAGGCCCAAGACTTTCATAAGAGTCCAAGATTAAAAAAGGTTGTTTTCAAGTTCAAATTGTAGCAACAACAGAAAAGTCTGAATATGTCCTGCAACCTAGAAACTATTCAGTATTAATGAATATGTCCTGCAACCTAGAAACTATTTAGTATTAAGCCCATATCTCGAGTTCTATAAGTCTAAATGCATCAATTTTTTTATTGTTGGAAAGCTGAGATAATTTCCTATAATTTTTATGAGGATAATCTATTCAAATTCTAATGTTAGCAATCATGTTTTATTCATATAAGAAGATAAAGATTATCATCAAGTCAAGATATGGCTATCCACTCAATAATTAGTCAACAAATCAATAGTTATAAATTTTATCCTATAAAAGAAGGCATTTTTCATGCATTTAAGCATCTTGGTTTTTATATTAAGATCATGTTCTTGCTCTTTTTTTTTATATTTTTTGTAATGCTTAAGTTTTGCTTTCATTAATCTCTTGTTTATACCTGTCATTTCCTTTACTTTACTTAGTTAACTCATGTCTTATTTATGTTTTTATTTTATTTATTTATATTTTTCTCTTTCATTATGTTTAGTTAAGTTTATTATGTCAAGGTGAAAAAGGTTATACTAATGGTGTAAGAATAAATATAGTATAAACTCAATATGGGCCTTAATGTTTGATACTAGTATGCTTTATATTTGTTATCTTGTTCACTTTTAATACTTTGCTTGTTAAATGGTTAATCTAGATTTATGTTGTATAATCCTTTATATAACAAATACTTGACACTTTCATAACCCAACCGTATGGTATAACTGATATTTGTTATGAAAACCCGTTAAATTATAATCTGAGTAAAATAAATAAAGTAATAGATTAAATAAAAGGATTTAAAGTATTGTAATTGGATACAATAGAATAAAATATAAGATGTTATGCTATGAATTAAGTAAAAAGAAGAGTTGAGTGACAAAAAATAGAAATGAGAAGAAATGAGGGCTAATGTGTAACTAGGTAAAAGTTGGATTATAAATGCTCCATTTTTTCTCTTTTAGCCGTGAGCTTGAAACAAAGAGAGAGGGGAAAAGTGTGTGATTTTCTACTTAAATTCTCATTGTTTGCACTAATTAAAGTGAGTAATTAGAGTGATTAATTTAATTAAACACCAAGAGGGGGTTGATTTTAATATGGTGAATGCATTGGAGGAAGGATTGCAAGCTAGGGTTTGAAGAGGGAGAAGAAGAAAACTTGATTTTTCTTACATTCTTTCCTTAAATCCTTATCAAAGTGAAGTAAATAACATATTTCAAATGATTAATTCCTTTAATTTTATGTTTGATGGAGGATTATGCAAAATTATGATTATGTGAAGTTGTGAATTTATGTTATAATTTATAGGAATAATGCAAATTATGTTTGAACCATATTAGAAAGCATGAATTATGATTGGGTAAGTATTTAATTTTGAATAAAAGAAACAAAAATTATTTTTCCTTATTTTAATTAAATATTTGGCCAAAAGAGGAATAATTTAGGGGATTTGAGGTTTAATACAATTGTTTGGAAAATATGGGAAGATGAAGGTTTATAAGTGTTGTTATATGAATGGAGTAAGAATTTTTTTAAAGAGAAAAGAAAAATCTTCACTTCCTTCCCTAGGTTGTTTTTGGCTAAATGGAGAAGAAAAATTAGAGAATGGAGTTTAACTGATATTATTGAGGAATCTTTCTAAATTGAAGACAATTAATATTGATAGGTTAAATTGAATAGAGACTTTTGTGAAAAAATAAGTAAATATTTAAAAAAAGATGGTGTTTTGTCCCTCTTGAAGTAAAAGTCAATTAAACTTAATTAAGGGTGTTGGATTAAATCAAAGAATATGTAATGGGTATTAGAATTTTACCAGTTCGAATGAATGAATAATGACAAAGTAATTTTATTGGTGCAGAGGAGGGCGCAGGACTTAATCAGCAACAAGGGACCTCTTCACGCGTACAGACACCAAGTAAGTGTTTGATACCTTGGAGTAATTAATTAGTTTATATTTTTTTTAATTGTAGAAGGAATTTTATAAACTGTAAATTCTAGTGCTAGTTGCTGGAAATAAATTTGAATTTTTAAGACTATAAATTCTAATGGTAGTTGCTGGAAATAAATTTGAATTTTTTATATTGTAAATTTTAGTTCTGATTGCTAGAAATAATGCCCTGGTGAATGGGCAAGTCTTGAAAATTATTTCCTGGTTGCTGAAAATAATGCCCTAGCAAATGAGAAGTTACTGGAAATAATGCCTTGTTGAATGGGCAAGCCTTGAAAATTATTACCTGGTTACTGGAAATAATACCTTGTTGAATGACCAAGCCTTGAAGATCATTTCCTGATTACTAGAATTTATGCCTGGTTGAATGGCCATGTTAAGAAAATTAATTTACAAATTAATGGGATAACCACTCGATGTAAAATAGATTCATTGTACAAATTTGAAGTTAAATATGCTGGTTTGTGGGAGACACTCTTGATATTTTTATTTTAGTAAATTTATCCTTATGTCTAGAAGAGAATTTAGAAAATTAGAGATTTCAACAAGAAAATAAGACAATTTATTCTATGATATGAAAGTCACTTTCATATAAATGAATAATTAGTCTTTAATCAATTACTTATTGAAATGTGCAATTGTTTTAATCATGTTTAATGCAATTATGTTTTTAGGTACATCGCACCCTCGATCTGGAAAGTAGATGCTTGGATAAATGATTTTGTTATGTGATTAATGTAATTGAAAGAACTAATATTTTGTTGTAATATACTTCCATATCTAAAATTGTATTGTTTAACTTATTATCTTTGTATGATATAATTTATAATGTTATTATTATTAAGTTGAATTATGGTTGGTTGTATATATATATATATATAAGTGTTGAGTTTACATGTTGAAACTGTAACAGTTGGTATCAAAGGGTTTGGGTTTAGGAGTGGAAAAAAATAATAATAAAGGGTTTAATAAATTTTTAACTTGTACTAGAATGGTTCGCACAAGGAAGGGTACAATAATTAGAGAAGGGTTTGATGAGAGACAATGAGAGGATTCATTGGAGGATACTGCCTCTCATATACCCTTAGAGCCTCAGCAGTCAAGACTAGGAGAGTCGACTGGACTCATTTGTGACATTGACTTGAGACATACTAAGGGGTTACAACTTGAGGGTTCAGACCAGCAAAGACAAGAAGTCGTGCCTCCAATTATGGCTCCAGCTATGACTCCAGCACCTCCAGTAATTCCTACACTACATGTCAACCCTTTGTTCATAGCTCAGATAATGAGAGCAGTGATTGAGGCAATGCTTGGTGCCTTGGCTCCACAATTCCAATAGCTCAAACAGTGTAAGCAGCTCCAGTGGCTACGAAAAAAGCTAATAATGTGGTCACATTAGTGCGGATTGTAAAAAGCATGAGAGAACTTGGGTGTGAGCCCTTTTTAGGTGAACCAGACACCGAGAAAGCAGAAAGATGGCTTCGCACAATTAAGGATACTTTGGATCAGATATAGATAATAGAGGGCTTGTGAGTAAATTGTACCACTCATTTACTTTTTGATAGGGCATGGTCCTGGTGGGATACAGTGAGATCAAGGAGACCCGCAGGATCCTAGACTTAGGCTGAGTTTAAAATGCAATTTGAACATCAGTTTTACTCCTCCTATCATAGAAAAATTAAGGAACAAGAGTTCTGGCCATGAGGCAAGGAGACATGTTAGTACTTGATTATGAGATGAGGTTTCATGACCTCTTCATGTTTGCCTCGCATTATGTCTTTAGTGAGCAACATAGGATGGTAAGGTTGAGAGATGGATTGCGGCAAAGTTGAGATAAGGGTTGATTACATCTAAGTTTGAGACCACTAAAGATTTTGTATCAAAGAGGGCCAATAAGGTCAGCATGGTCTAGGTAAATGAAAAGATACAGAGCACACCCATAACAGACCCCCTTTCTCAAAAAAGAGGAAAGGATAGTACAACCAGTTAAAAAAGGTAGGAGGTACATCAGTTGCATCAGTTTAGACTACTGAGGTGGGATCGACAGGAGGACAACCAAACCTCAGGGGTAATTTTTCTAGAGGAGTGTTAGAGCAGAAAACGATCACTTATCCCTTATGTGTTAAATATGGGTAAAGGCATCTAAGAGACTGTTCTGCAACACTAGGGCAGTGTTATATTTGCCGAGGGGAGCATATGTGGAGGGATGCTCGCACTTAGGGTGAGGTTGTTATTATTACAAAGGTCAAGGGCACTTCCGAAGAGATTGTCCCCGTAAGATTGAAATCACCCAACATCAGCAGCAAATTCAAAGTCAACAACAGTCCACTACTATGAATAGACCAGCTAGACAGGTTTTGTCAGGGGCCAACGACAATAGGAGCTGAACTCATGCCTAGGGTGATAGAATACGGGGGGGGGTCGAAATCAAGGTAGAGTATACTACATGACCTAGGAGGAGACCAGGGCCGCTTTTGATGTAGTGGTAGGTAATTCTCTATCAGTTCATGTATTGTTTGATTTGGGTGCCACACACTCATTTATTGCAAATAAACTTGTGGGGGGATTAGGGAGAATCCTTGTAGAATAGAAAATGAGTTTATTATAAGCACTTCATTAAGTGAAACTGTGAATGTTGGTCATATGTATAAGGGGGACCAGATTAATATAGGTGGTTGTGAGTTAAAAGTAGATTTATTATCACTAGAATTACATGATTTTGATGTCATTTTGGGAATGGATTGACTAAGTATGAATAAAGCTCAAATGGACTGTTTCACAAAAAACAGTAACTCTTCAAAGGCCTGATGGTAAAAAGATAGTGTTTAGGGGGTAGAAATATCATCCCAAACTATATTATCTTAGCTATGACCGCTAGGAAAATGATAAAAAATGGTTGTGAGGCTTACCTTGCCTATGTCTTAGAGACCAAAATGGGAGATATTCAAGCGTCAAATGTTCCAATAGTAAGCGAATTTCCTGATGTATTTTCGGATGAACTGTCAGGAGTCCCTCTGGAGAGAGAAGTGGAGGTCATTATTGATGTATTGCCTAGTACGTCTATAATAGCCTAATCAATGTATAGGATGGCGCCAACCGAGTTGGCCGAACTGAAGATCCAACTATAGGAATTACTAAATAAAGGGTTTATTCATCAAAGTAATTCACCCTAGGGAGCTCTTGTGCAATTTGTGAAGAAAAAGGATGGGACCCTTCGGCTTTGTATAGATTATAGGCAGTTGAACAGAGTAACAATAAAGAACAAATATCCGCTCCCGTGGATATATGATTTGTTTGATCAACAAAAAGTAGCAAAAGTGTTTTTAAAAATAGATCTGAGGTTGGGATACTATCAATGGAGGATTAAGGAACTAGATGTAACAAAAACCGCATTCAGAACTCGGTATGGACATTACGAGTTCTTAGTAATGCTATTGGGCTAACAAATACACCGGCTGTGTTCATGAATTTGATGAATAAGGTCTTTTGACCATACTTAGACAAGTTTGTGGTGGTATTCATAGATGACATCTTAGTTTATTCAAAGTCATATTTAGAGCATGAACAACATTTGAGGCAGGTAGTGATGACCTTAAGGAAGCATCAACTATATGCCAAACGTAGCAAGTGTGAATTCTAGCTGAAGGAAGTGATTTTTCTAGGACACATTAAATCGGCTGAAGGAATATCGGTGGATCCTAGAAAAGTTAAAGCAGTATTGAAATGGGAAAGACCTACCAGTATCACTGAAATTCATAGTTTTCTTGGATTGGCAAGGTACTATCAAAGATTTATCGAGGGATTTTCTACCATAGCTATTCCCATGACTCGGTTGACTTGAAAAGAGACAAAGTGGGAATGGACTTAGGAATGCGAAGAAAGCTTTTAAAAACTAAAAAAAAAGACTCACTACTACCCCGATGTTAACACTCCCATCAGGAACTGAAGGATTAGTATTCTATAGTGATGCCTTAAGGAAGGGACTAGGGTGTGTATTAATGCAACATGGTAAAGTAATTGCATATGCCTCAAGACAGTTAAAGGCTCACGAGATCAATTACTCGGTGCATGATTTAGAATTAGCTGCTGTGATGTTTGCCTTAAGAGTATGAAGGCACTTTTTATATGGGTCTTGGGTTCAGATATTCACGGATCATAAGAGTTTAAGGTATCTAATGATGCAGAAGGGATTGAATATGTGGCAAAGATACTGGGTGGAATTAATAAAGGATTATGATTGTGTAATTGATTATCATCTAGGGAGACCAAATGTAGTCGCAGATGCTCTTAGTCACAAGGTGAAGATAGTGGATGCTCAGTGGGAGGATTGGGATGAAAAGAAATTGCTAGAATTAAGAAAGATTGATGCTCAAGTAGAGGCGGGTCCATATAAGTCATTAATGGCCCAATTAAGAGTAAGGTCAACACTCCAGGACAGGGTACTAGAAGCTCAGCAAGAAGATCTAGAAGTTTGTAAGGTAAGAGAAAATGAGAGATTAGGAATCAAGATGCCATTTCAAATTCAGAAATATGGAATAGTAGTCCTTGGAAGACGAATGTACTTTGATTAGTACTTAAAAGTGCATTTTTATCAAGGTTTTATATCATCATTTTGCACTTGAAGTATCAATAACTCCTTAACCAAAGCATGTTTTATAATAATATATTTAATAATATAAGATACCTTTAATTTGTGGTAAATAT